TGCCCAGTGCAACCCAGGTGCTTCCATGTCATTCACTTGCCACAGGGAAAGCATTCGGTTGACCGTCGGCCCTGTCCTCCACATCCTGGAGAACAACCTGCTGGAGGCCGTGAAGCCCGCCACTGCGCCCAGCGGGCTCAGGTACCTGACATGGCTCTAGCTGAGGGGACGGAACCCAGGTCTCAGGGGACAGAAGTCAGCCAGCCGGTGACTGGGGTCGATGGCTAGGGGCCCCTGGGCCCTCTGCGGTTGGCAGTCATTTTACTTTTCCCCTCGCCACACTTGTTCGTCTGCCAAAAAAACAAACAACCCTGAATGTATTCAATTTATTTCTCCTTAACTCATTGAACATTTGAAGATTTTTCGAACAGTTCATAGGGGGGGAAAAGCCTCCAATTTCTCTTAGTTCCATTGAAGTCAAACAGAATAACTGAGTATAGTATCACCCTGATCGGATATCACATCAGCCCCAGACAGAGTGAGTTGCTGAGTGGGTTGTTAGTGTGAGTGCCTCCCCGGAGGGTGTAGCAGGTCTGACAGCCTGTGGGGAAGATGTCGGAAAGGGTTCCCGAAGCTCCACCGCTCCATCTCCACGTGGAACCTCTGGGCGGGGCCACGTGCTACTCCTCGTGCGGCCTCAGAGGGAGTGCTGTGGCCTGGCCGGAGAGCACATGCGTCTCAGGCCCCAGCCAGGAGACACTTGGGTGATTTCTATGCACCTTCCTGTGGGGGAAGTGCTGGGACCAGCTGCCACCTTGGGCGAGCGAGTCCACAGGAAGCCTCAGCGTGCACTCGGGATGGGTCGCATGAATGGTGAGTTCGGACAGGAACCGTCAGAGACTTGAAGTCAGGATTTATCACAGAACATCAAGCCAACGCCCTTCCCTGCCCTTCACAGGACCTGTGATGCCTGTCCGTTTCCTGAAGGTTTTTGCCACCTTGTCCCTGTCAGCCTCGTTACCTGTGGGGAGCCACAGGACCCAGGGATGGTCTTCTAGGGTTAGGGACTCAAAGACACAAAATCCTTACTCTTTCCCAGAACATAGGTGCCGGGTCACAGAGGCAGATCAAAAGGGCACCTTGACCACCGGTTCAAGCCGTGTGAAGAACGTGATGAGCGCTGTCTGGGTCCAGTAGTAGTCCTTTCAAAGGAACTTGGTGTCCCTAAACCGCAAGCCTTCTGAAATACACCCTGCTCAGCGCGTGGCTGCGAACAGAGTGTTCCCCAGCAGCACGCAGATCCCAGAGAGGAGAACAGGAGGATCTAACTAGCATGCGCAGCTGCTGCACCTGCACCCCCAGGGCAGGAGGGGGCAGGGGAGTGGGAGGCTCGGTGGCGAAAATACCTGGAGTCGGGAATAGGGCTCTCTCCACCGTCTACTCCCAAGAAGTTCTGAGCCAGGCTCAGCTGATATGGAGATATCGCCTGGTTTCTGGGTCCCTTACTCTAATGGCTGCAGCAGTGTCCTGGCCTCGGGAGTCCCAAGGTAAAGAAACATTCCTGTCTTGCAGAAAGCTGTACCTCTATGCAGCTCATGATGTCACCCTCATCCCTCTCTTAATTGCCCTGGGCATCTTTGACCACAAATGGCCCCCATTTGCAGCTGACCTGACCATAGAGCTCTATCAGCATAAGGACACGAAGGAGTGGTTTGTGCAGCTGCGTTACCACGGGGAGGTAAGACACCTGCGGTGAGCTGGGGTGGCAGCCAGGCACCCTCTTCTCAGCCTCACCCACCATGCACGTCTCCCTCCTCAGGGCTGGTGGTGTCTGTGTTGACAGAATCATCCCTGTGAATCCGAGTAGGGGGACCAAGCATAGGGCAGGACTTGGCATCCAGTGGCGGGCTCAGCTGTGTCCGGCACCTAGTTATGGGCTGCCCTCCTCTCCTGCACGTCCTCACCGGGATGGTCCCCTCTTGGCCGTGCAGCCGACTGGAGAAAGAATGGCGGCACTTTGGGAGGTGGGGTCCGTTGGCACTCTCCATGTCTGGGCAGCTTCATCAGGGTGTGGCCGGGGCCGAGCACAGAGCCTTCTTCAGGGATCCTGGGTCCTTAAGGATAATAAGTGAGCTCTGTCTGCCTCGCCAATTCAACTAACGTTTCTTGGCTGCTTTCTGAAAGCGGGACCTGTATTTTTAACCTGGAAGGTGCCTGGGTGGTGTGCGCACAGAACAGCCCGAGCCTCTCGCGCCTCTGGGCGTGGCCACAGCAGCAGAAGGAAGGGTTCTCAGTGGACGTGCTGAACGCTGTCTCTTCCACAGGAGCGGGTGCCAAGAGGATGCCTGGAAGGGCCATGCCCGCTGGACGAGTTCTTGAATGCTGTGTCCATTTACACCTTAAGCCCAGAAAAGTACCACAGGCTCTGCTCCCAACCACAGGTGACAGAACTTGGGCATGGAGAGTGACCGATTTGTAGAAGTAGGATCTGTTGGCCTTTGGAATAAAATGTCTCCCCATGCCTTGGGCTCTGTGTGTGTGATGGGGGAGGCCAGGGTGTTTTCCTCCCTGTCGGGTGTTGTCTGAGGCTGGGTTGTCTAGAGACAAAACCAGTGACACTCCTAGGTGCACAAGAAAGGAGTTTCTATCAAGAAGTCATTTTATATCAAAAAAAAGCACTCCCCCAAAGCCAAACTGCCATCGGGTTGATGCCGTCTCACAGGGACTCTATAGGACCGAGTAGAACTGCCCCTGTAGGTTTCTGAGACGAACTCTACGAGTTTTTTTCTCCCATTTAGTGACTGGTGGTTTCAAACTGCTGACCATGCCGTGAAGAGCCCAACGCCTAGTCGCCATGCTACCAAGGCTCCTCAAGAAGGCTTCCCAGCCGAGTTCAATTCAAGACCGTGGGTCTGACGGTAGCCGGAGCCCTCTTCAGACTCGGGTAGCTGAAGGCTGATGACACGGAAGAGGGAAGCTGCTTGCAGGGAGCTCAGGGGCTGCGTGGTACAGTCACTCGGATCCAAGGTCGGTGGATCGGACCTTGTGGGGACAACTGTCCAGTCGGTGACCCACATGGGGCTGCTCCTAGAGGCAGACAGAGTCCCAATGAGGAGGAAGTCAAAAAGCAAGAAGAAGAAATGCCCGCGTCTCTTATAAAAAAGGCCGCAGCTCCCAGGAGGCATCATCAGGCTGTGAACTGACTGACAGGTTGGACCCCATCCCTACCCTTCAGCACATGTTCAAGCCGACATAAAATCTAACGGCCACGAGGCCTCTTCTGGAAAGGAGAAGGAGGAAATGCTGAGACCAGAGGGTAGTCCTCTCTTGTGTGGCGCGAGTTTCCTCCCTTGAAGCATCTGCATGTGACACAGCTGGGGACATCACGGCTCTGGAATGGCATGGTACTGGGCCTGGGGATCCTTGTTGTGTCTTCATTTCACAAGCGTTTGGTGAACACCCACTCATTCTCACGGCATGACCAGTTCAAGTTGCTGTGGAGCCTGTTCCTGCTCATGGGAACTGAGATAGTTTATTGTGCCAGCCTGGCTGATAAACGCAGGTGGGATTGACTGAGGGGCGGAGAGATGGATGGCTTGGTGAGCCTCGCCTTTCTCGTTCTCGGGTCTCTTGTTTTGTGATGGTTGCACCGGGGTGCAGCTGCCTTAGCAGTTCCCTGCTTCAGCTTGCAAGATTGACTTCCTACAAGACATCCCCAAGGAGAAGCTACATGGACCTATCCCGATGCAGCCCTGGGTGCTGGAGCAGCCGTGTGGAGACCCCTGCCAGTGCTGAGATGCTTATTCGTTCACTGACTCAGCTTTCCTCCTGCAGTCGGCATCATTGCCTCTGTTTTGTGAGGTGGAGGACTTTGTGGACTGGTGTTGGGGTAATGGGTTAATGTTGGACTTGTGGGCTTGGGCAGCATTGGGTTGGGATGTTTTCATGATGCACATTTTCTTTGCATAAAACTCTGTCTTATACATGAGTTGCTGTGGATTTGTTTCTCCAAAGTACCTAGACTAATACAGGAACCCACGCGTGTCAGGGCACACTGCTCCCTGTTTCAGGGACTGCTGACCTGGGAGGTGCATCACCATTGCCTTGGGTCCAAGATGCCTCCAGCCTCCAGCGTTTCAGGACCAGGCGCGTTTGGAACAATCTGCACTGCTGGGGACTCCCGCCGACGGACAGACGAGAGGAAAGGTTCTCCCCTCAAGTTGTTTCGGTCCAGTGGGAGAGGCAGATGCATCAGGCGGGGATCCCAAATACAGTGTGTGCCACATTGTGATCGAGGGATGTGTGGGGCTATGTGGGGGAAAGAAGAAAACCTGGACCCAATATGGGTAGCAGTAGAGGAGGCAGGAGGAGCGAGGGATGGGAGCAGTTGAGAAAGGAAGGCGTACTTATGGCCTGAGCCCAGCAGGGAAAGACAAGTGGGGATGAACGTGGTCAGCAGGAAGGGACGGGGACTAGGTGTGGGTAGAGGCTAGGTTTGAGGGGCAGGAGACGTTGCTGGGCAGTGATCAGGGCCCTGCCCTGGAGACTCAGCCGCAGGAGGAAGCAGAAAGGCCCCTCCGCCTCGGGCTGGGGTGCCAGCAGTAAACAAGAGGGCTCTGCCGTGGGGGGTGGGAATGACTCAGCATAAGGTGAGTCATTCCAGACGCTGCCCCAATGTCCTCGTCAACGTTCCCATTCTGCCTCAGACTATTCCAAGCATTCCCAGTCTCAACGCACCCATCCCTTTACCTCTCAGGAAAGGGAGGCAAGCATGACAGCCTCACCGCTTCCTGCCGCCGAAGCTTGGCCACATCAGAGGAAGAAGTGTCCCTCCTCCTGCCTGAATTGGCACCCCAGCCCCTGTGCTCTTCCGTGTCTTAATCCTCTCCGGATTCCTTCCTATCAAGTTCCTGCCTGCCCGGGTTGCTTCGCTCCTTCAAAACCAGCAAACACCCCCCAAACCTTCCCCGCATGCTCCCTCCCTTCAGGCTAGCACCTGTCCCCTTTGTACCCCAAGCTTCCTCAGAGGGGCCTGTATTCCCTTAACGCCCACGTCCTTCAAGTTCTTGTCCCTGGGCCCTCATCACCAAAACCTCACCCCCGACTGGCTGAGCCAAGCAAAGCTGTCACCCGCCATCTCAGTGCTAAATCCTCTGGGGCCTTCTCGGTCCTTATCTCACTTGACTTTCTGTAACACTAGGCACCCCTGACCACTCGCTCTTCCTTGCCACATTCTGCCTTTACCTGCTGTAATCTCACACTCCCCTTTCCTCGGACCACTTGGACCGCTCAGTTTGCCTTCTTGACTGTCCCTCGGCTGGTTCCCCTGGACATCCTCGTCAGCTCCAAGGCTTCAGGCACCCACAGGTCTCCTCTCGAACATGCAGCCTGCCTGGAAGCTGCTTGCCGAGTCATGCAATGTCTCCCATGGTTCTTCCAAAGTTCTCTGCCAAAGTTCTGCCAAAGTCTGCCGCTCCACCCCAGGCTCCTGCCTTTTCAAGGATTCCACGGGGAGGCGTGGTGGACGACCCCTGATTGACCCCATTGGCTGAATTGAATTTACCTGGCCTAGGTGGCCCAATCCAGGCTCAGCGCCCACCCATGCCTACCAGAGGGAAACCTGAACCTCGAGCATGTGCAGTGCGCCACTCCTTTGTTTCCGTAGCTTGGCCCTCTGGGCATGCGTTAACGACATCCCCCAGCCCTACGCTGGCCTACCTAACAAAATGTAGATCCAGAAAATGGCTCACAGTTGTAGAAGCAGCAAGTCCCCACACAGAGGTGGATAAACCCTAGGTCAGCAGTTCTGGCTTGTGACTGGCGAGAGAAATGAATGCAAGATCAATAGATCAGATGGCAGGCCAATGATGGCGCTTGGGATCAGCAGGCAGTATCAGGGCGTTGGCTCAAGCTCAAAGAACCAGAGGTCAATGAGCCAGGTGCAGGGTGGAGACCCAGCAAAAGGCAGGCAAGCTTTTCTACGCTGTCCTTATATAGGAAGTAGGCCGCACCCTCGAGGACACTTCCTTTTAATTGCATCAGCGCTGTGTCCCAAGCAAGGGATTTGCACTCCACCTAATCTTCCCACAACTGCTTGGCTGCTCACAGCAGATCCCATCGTGGAGTTGATTGCGTTATGCTAACTCACCTCCTGGTGGATTACTAGTGGAGATCCTGGCCCAGTAAAGTTGGCACAAAAGCTAGCGATTGCACTTGTCAACTCTCAGGGCTATCAGATCTATTTCTCTAGGTTTCTCTTCTGAGCTTCAACCATTTATGCCCACTTGGATGTCCCTTGTGAAAGCAAACCCTTCTCCCCTCCCCAGCCTTCTCCCCTCCCCAGGCTTCCCTATCCGAATGAAAGGCACCATCATCCCACACCGTTGCTAAACTAGCCATCTGTTGCCCCCTGCCTCTCACTCATCCATTACGTTCTATCAATATTGCCTGGATATGTCATGAATCTATTCAGGTCTCTCCATCCTTAAATCTTCAATACACCATCTCACTCTCTGCCGATTATTGTATTTCTTATTTTGCCAAGAAAGTAAAAGCAAGCAGAAGAGAACTGTTGGGCCCTCCCCACACACCCCCCACCAGCACCTCTAAATCTGCTGACCCCATTGCTTGGGTACTCACGTGGCCTGCCTTTCATCCATCCTGTTACTGAGGCTGAACCAGCCCTATTCCTAACCAACACCCAACTTTACATTTGTTGCCTACAATTTTTATTTTCTGCATTGTTAATTTTCTCTTCTAATTATTCTACTCACATACAAATATGCTCTAAAATCTGTCATCCTAAAAAAAAAAAATCCCTCACACGTTTGAGCTACTCTTGCCCTTTTCTTTCTCATCTTTACAGCAAAACCCCTCTGAAGAACTGTTTCTATTTGTCTCCAACTCTCCCTTCCTGGTCTCTGGACCGACTATGATCAGGTATTCACTCCCTCACTCCCCCGCCTCCTAGAAACAGCTCCTGTCAAAAGCATCAATGACCTCTGTGTGCTAAATCCAATAGCCAATTGTAAGTCTTCTCCTTACTCAGCTTCTCATTAGCTTCTTGGACTATTTCCCTCATTTGGCTTCCATGACAAACACTCCCTGTTGTTGACCCCCAACTTCTCCCTTTGTGCTGAATCCACCTTTTTCTAATCTCAACTTGTTGGAGCGCATTCACCCCCACCCCCCAGGTGGTCACCTCAGGCAGTTCCACAGCTGTAAATATTATTTCCACAATGTCTCCTAAACAAAGAAAACTTTCATCCTGAACCTCTCTCCAGTCTGTTTTCCAACTGTCTGCTCACTATCTCTATTTGGATATTAAAGATACTGGATGTCCACCAAAGTTTCCGTTTACAGTTTTCATGCCCATTCAAACCTACTCTTACCCTAGCCTTTCTCCTTTAGGGAAATGACACCACCAGTTACCTAGTTGCTTGGGCTCACCATTGGCTCCTTTTGCTTGCAGGGTCTCCATTCAATCCATCGGTACGCCCTGTTTCTCTCTCTGCCACTGGGTCGATGCTGATTCCTAGAGACTGCCCCAGTGGGTTTATGAGACTGTTCACAGGGGTCGAGAGTCCCACCTTTCTCCCACACCATACCTGGAACTGATTATTTCTCCAGATTCCCTGTATTACTTGGTCTCAGCATCATCTCTCACCTGGATTATTGCAAAGGTCTTCTAAGTAGTCTCCCTAGCCCTCTCCTTCCCCCTTTCCCTCCAATCTAGTCTCAATGCAGGCGTTGTTTTGAAAACAAGTCAGAAAAATATTTGGGTAAAGCTATCTCTGATCAGGGTCTAATCTTTAAACTATATATAAAAAACATCAACAAATCAACAAGAAAGGACAGTCCAATTAAAAAACAAAGAACATGAGCAGACACTTCACCAAAGAGAACCTTCACGCAGCTAGTGAACACAGGAAATACTGGTCATGAGCATTACAATCAGAGCTGTAAATCAAAACCACAGTGAGATACTCATGTAGCCAGAATAGGGGGCTCAGCGGGGCTGTCTCCCAGTGCCTGCATCGGGCCACAACAAAGGGGTTGATGAGAAATCAGGCACATGAATTAGACACCTATGGAAAGATTCAAACTGAGCATGCTCAGACACAAGCCCCCACTAGGCTCAGGTGGGTAGTCTACCTGGGTGCCCAAGCTAGGCCTGGCCACATGACATCACCCAGGTGTGTTCAAACTCAGCCAATGAGGTCGACCAATACCTTCAACCACGCCTCTCCAGTCACAGGAAGGGCTAGCCTCTCTTTGAGTCTTCTCTTGTTCAGATGCGCTCTTGCCGCTCAGAGGCACATGCATGTTGCCTGGGCCTGGCGCCCGAGCTCCGTCTCAGGCCTCTGTTTCAGGGCGCTCTTTTGGGATTTCCTGTGAATGCCTTAAACTTCCCTTTTCCTCATAAAAGTCACGTGGATTTACAAAAGTGCTTCTGCTGCATGAATTCTTTCAGCGTTGTGAAACAAGGACCGAGGTATAAACCACTTCAGAAACCTAACAATGGCATCCCTCCCCTGCAAAAAACGACACTGGTCCAAAGACCAGAAAAACCAACGTGCTGGGAAAGAAGCAGGGC